AAGAATGAGTTTTTGAATAGTGATTGATGTAAAGAATGTGTGGTTAAAAAGTAAGAAGAATTTTTGGGTTTATGTGTAATATTATTTTATTTGAAGAATGTGTGGTTAGAAATGAGTACTGTAGAAAAATGAGAATGAAAATGAGATAAAAAATGGGTGTCAAACGGGGATCACAATTTGTTCATCGGACACAAATAAGAAATTTTAAAAGTAACAAATTATTTTACGGTCACAAATCACAAATTTTACATGCTACAAATTATTTTACGATCACAATGCAAAAATTTTATAAGTGACAATTTGTTCATCGATCACAAATAAAAAAATTGAAACGTCACAAATTATTTTACTTTACGGTCACAATTCATAAAATTTATACGTCACAATTTGTTCATCGGTTACAAATCAGAAATTTTATAAGTCACAAATTATTTTACGGTCACAATTAAAAAAATTTATAAGTCACAATTAGTTCATTGGTCACAAATCAAAATTTATATGTCATAATTTATTTATTGGTCACAAATCAAGAATATTATAACTCACAACTTTGTAGACGGTCACAAATTGTCAAATTTTCGATCACAAATCTAAAAAAATTTCGGCCACGCACTATTTTTTTTGTCACAATTAATTTTTTCGTTGTTCACAGATTAACCAATTTGATAGTCACAATCGACCAAATAATTTGTGACCACCATCGCATCACTCCCCTCTGCAGTAGCACCGCCATCTTTGCTGCCAGAACCATCACCTTCAACTACAAAACTGTCACTGTCACCGCTAAATCCATCCCCACTAAATCCAACAAATATTATCGCAACCGCCAGATCCACCAGCAACGTCGACAACAAAAACCACAGCCTCTGCCAGATCAAAACCACCACAACCGCCACCCAACCACGACCAACAAATCATATCCAAAACCGCTAGAGAATCCTACACCACCACCACATCCCAAGCACAACCACCACCTTTATCACACTCCAACCACCACACCCACCAAAAAATCCCCAAACTCGCTGCCGTCTCCGCCACCATTGAATCACTACCATAGCATCAGTCACAAATCATCATTTTCCCTCGCATGGCGCCGCTGTAACTGCGAACACCTAAGAGGTGCACGCGCTCGAACTCGGCGAGGTGCGAGCAACGACGACGATAGTGCTACCTCTCGCGAACAGTGACGCGGCGCCTATTGCGATGATTTTGTTACTAACGGTCGATGCCTTCTTTTCCCCTCGACGACATCAGATCGGAGATGTTGATCAGTCGGAGACTTCGTGAGCCTAGCGCCGCCTATGCTTCAGTAGCGGTGTACCGGAGAGAGAGAGAGAGAGAGAGAGGGAGAGAGATGGTAGAATCTACGAGCATGTTTGAGAAAACTTAAAATCCAATTAAAATTGAAAATATAGCCGTTATTGGGTCCCGTTCGTCTAATAAAAGTCAACAATAACGGCTAGTTTTTCAATTTTAATCCGATTTTAATCTCTACCGAACACGCCCTAGGTATGGGGGTTTCGACTTTATTCAAAAGAGAAGTTGAAAACTATATTTTGAAAATATTAGTTGAACCGAAATCATTCTTGTATATGATAAAAACTCATATTTAGGCTCTATTTGTTTCTGATTAAATTTAAATTTAAATCAAAGTCAAACAATTAATATTAATCACATCTTTCATGGGTCTCACAACTTTTTTAACTACACATTTTAAAAATTTATGTCACAATTTACTAAAAATTAAATTTTAATCTCCATCAAACACCCCCTAAAAGGAAGGACACTTAATCTGAGTGAAACATAATTTTTTTTTAATGATAGATCGACATAAACATTAAAAACTACAATTTGAATTAGTTTCTCTTCACAAATAAGTGTTTGAGCCACTAAAATCTTGCTCGCAAACTTTTAGATTCTCACTTAAAAGTCACAAGACGTTCATTCAAGTTATCGAATATTTCAAGTTTATTAACGTCATCACATAGACTCGAGTATTAAAAAATAATAATAATTTAGACCATAAAATTCATCTAAATGAAATATATAATTATTCTTGTAATTTTAATATGTAATGATATCCTTCCATCATCCATGTATAGTAATAAATATAATTAGTGTTACAATATTTAAAATATCAAAAAATCGTTATTTTGAATTTGTGCGGGATGATTAAATCCTTCAACCCACACATCTTTATTCTTATTACTTTCTGATTTTTTATTTTTCTCTATATTCTTATCTTCACCAACTTCAAACACCCCTTGGACATAAGACTCCACATCAATTACCTCATTTCCATCCATGTCCTCATTCGCCGGCAGTAACGGAATGAACGGCGGCCGGGGCATCTCCAAAATAAAATCCCAATCAACCGTTTTAAGAAAATCGTGGCTCTTGATTTCCTTAACGGAGATCCTCTTTCGTGGGTCCTTTTCAAGCAATTTTCCGATTAAGTCCCTTAACGGCGTTAATTCTCCGGTGAGATCCGNCAGTGGCAAAGGGGAGGGCGGTTAGGGCTCAACGCGGTAGTATGCAGAGTTCGATTCCCCGCAAGGTGGAATTGGTTTTGTTGCAAGCGGGAGTTACCATAGGGTTAATAGCCCAAGGCCTATCCATAAGCTCTCCACCCTGGCTCCTGGGAGGCACATCCTGCGATTTACCTCCTCCACAATGGCCCAGGGTAGGGTCGGTGGGGGGCCCTCAAGGTTGGGGTTCAAATTTAAAAAGAACATGAGACTCAAATTCTTATGACCAAATAACGTGAAGAAACTGAAACTTCGGAAAATCAAGGAACCATAGAAGCTAAAGAAATCGAAACTCTAGAAAATCAAGAGACCATACAAGCTGGAGAAACTAGAACTTCAGAAATCAAGGGACCATAAAAATTGAAGAACTTGGCACCGCCACTCGCCCAATGCTAGCACCACCACTACCGCCACCACAAACTGAGCCATTTCGTTCGAAATCTGGGAAATCAAAACCCAGAATTTCTAAGACCGACAATTTATGAGACGAACAAAAGATCAATACTTCTGCACAATATTAAGCTGCTAGTTTAAAATCAAAACTAAATAATAACTTCACGAATAAATTAAATTATCGGAACCTAATACATTCAAGTACGCAATCAATACTGAGAGAATCGAAATCGATGTTCAAATTTGAGGTAGTAAGCCCGACGATAGTAGAAACTCAAGAAGCTTTCGGCCATCGTTTCAATACTTTACAAGCAGAGGATTTGAAAACAAAATTTGGCTAATTTATAAATAATTAAAATTTACATTCAACAGTATAATTCAATGTACCGATAAATATTATCTATATATTCACCCCTTATTTCTATATCTGTTTATAAATTCTTCTCAAATTTTGCCATGTCTTTCAATTCTAATGGATAGTTGTCAATTTACAGTCATTTTTCTTGAACATAGTCATGGAACGATGAAAATAGCAGAAAAAGAATATAATTTGAAACGTTGGATAGGAGTGAATATGATTCGATTTGTACACTTTTTTGTCCATTTTCAAACCAAACAATAAAACCATTCAAACTATTTTTACTGCTTGATTCGTTTTCAAACCACGATTTGACCTAACAAAGCCCCTTCTATACTAATCTCTTTAGACATAGGCTAATCTATCTATAACTACATCTTTGAACAGCAGTCAAATAAGGTCGTGGATTGCAAGCTAGCGGAATTATCGGCCAGACAAAGGCTATGGCTGCTTTCTTTCCTAGCACCATTCATTGTATATTGGGTATATAAGGCGAGTGCACCCAAAAATAAGGAAAAGAGGTCGATCTATTCTACGATAAAGTATTTGAAGCAAAAAATTTACCCGCACGATCTTTTACCTACAGACATGAGCATTTGGTGGAACCAAAAAAACTGTACTTGCTCTCTAGATGGATGTGTAGGATAGAGGGGTCATGGTTCTATTCGACTTTAATTGTTTTTAAGGTATTTTCTCGTTCTGGGTCAAAATCAAAATGTTAGTATTCACCACAATTTCTCAAATTGACAATTTTAAACCACTAATTCGAATCAATTTTGTAGTTTTTTTTTTTTAATCTTATCATCTCGCATAGATGTTGCAACAATATTCACAAATTGGAAAAAAAAATCGCAAATCTTTTTGTCACGCTCTCTCTGTAATGCTGATGCGGTAGTCTGCCCTAGGCCCTCATGATGCTGGTGTTCACCTCGACTGAAGGAGTGAGTCTCGAAAATATGGTAGGCAATCGATGCGATGAAGGCTCGATCATCTTGTAGAAAAAACATTTATCTTAAGATAGTTGTTCAGCGCCATATCAGTATCAGTGATGATATAAAGCACCACCCATTTGCATATACATATCATCTCTGCATTTTGATTAATTCGAAAACCATAATGAGAATGCGCTTCAAGAAACTATTCCATTCTCTATTTTCTATCTAAAACGGCCACCGAATCTCATAATCACCGTCGACGAGCACCATCACACTTATAACTGCAAACAACAAACTTATAACTGCATAAGTAGAAATAATAACATCCGAAAAAATATTATTACTGTATAGTATAGATCCACCCGAAAATAACATTTAACTATCACACGTAATTGGATCGACTTTAGACTCGTCTTTCTTGGTCAAACCGATAAACTACTTGTAATATTGCCGTTACACGCGATAGAAATTCGGATCCGGCCGCTAAACCCAGGCAAATAAACCCGACCCATTCGCATAAATTTCTATTTTGAACCTCCACCAACTTCAAATACATACAAGAAATCAACAGCTGCACATCCACTGAGATTCTTACAATTTGCAATATAATTCGAACAATCTCAATTATAGCCATTAATTCCCCTTTAAAATCATTGTAATGAAAATAATCCTATAATAAACTAGCCCTTTTCCAAAGATTCCATTTGCTTTATCTTTTTGCGATTTTTCTTCAGGCCAAAGCATTCTCGGCACAGCACCTAGATCCAGATTTCTCTCTAAATTTCAGTTCTGCAAATTTCACGGGTACCATTTTGATGAATAATTTGGTTTATGTTTTTGTAAAGATTTTTGGTAGCATTTTTATTGGTGTAGAGGTTACAATTTCATTTCTCTACCTTCGAATGCCATTAGGGTTTCTGTATGATTTATTGGGTTATCTAAGTATGAGAGGAAAAGTATGTTTTACGCTTTTATTGGACATTATTTTTTTGATGTATTGAATTTACTTAATTTCACTGCGTTTCCACTTAATTGAATCAATAATCGTGAATGTTTATTGGTCTCCTTGTAGGGGTTACAGTTTCACTTTTTTAAAGTGTGGAATGTCATTAAGGTTTCTGTATGGTTTTTCTTTTTCTTTTTTTTTTTTT